TCTTCAACGTTACTTTGACTAGAAACATGACATCGAAACCAGTTCATATAGTGGATGCTCATATGTTGTGGCATTTTCTGGAACTCGTCCATCAATACTTTTCGAGTTTCCTTCAGTATTTTTCTCTTAAAAGAAATGCTGACGCATAAACGTCAAACTACGCGAACTTCTTGCCACACTTTGATTACATCATTAACTACCATTTAACCTGAAGCATTTTCACCCTTTCTAAGAATTCTTCCATACAAATTCTTCCATCTCATTTATCTTACTCTCAACATTTACACTCTGCCTTTTTCTTCTGAGAATTTTTAAACCACTGATCCTCCTAATAACTCATCTAGACTTTTTGTTTTTTTTTTCAACTTAATTCCAAGAAGATAAATTTATCCAAAAAGTTTAGGTAGCTAGTTTACGCTACAAGATTCAATACATCTACCTTCATTCTAAAGTTTCACTTTACATTTTTGAATTTTTTTTCCGTTTTTCAAGGGGAATATTATTGAAACTTTTCAATCTAATGTGAAAATAATTTAAGAAATGAGCTATGTACTCCAAAGCCAAATATTCACATTTGCAATAATTCTACGTAACTCAAAGTTATATATTTCAGAAATTCTTCTGATTTCCTTTCTTTACGTCTTATCCTTAAAAGAATTCTATTCCCCTAACATCCTCCTTTTTGTGCACTTCCATTAGAGATTTCGAGCCTGATGGACTTAACGGCTTTCATCCTGGAATGGGTTATATGAATTAAACATCTATTCATAATACATTTATTTATTATTTATATTCATGTTTACTACTTAATTTTAGAGTATAACTATTGTTTTCAACGACGATACTTGTAATAATCTGCAATTAGACAAGGAACTTAATCCCTTGGAAATGAGCCCAACTTGTAAACATATCATTCAGTGTCAATCTCCGTGGAGAAATCATCGGAGCCACTTGAGCAAAAACACTACTAATGTTTGTTATCTGATGAGGAAAGCGAGCTTCGTGCATCCATCTTCTATCACAATAATAAAGCATATCAAAGATAATCTCATCTCCTTGTAAACAATTGAAAATTTTTTACTTCATTATCCTAGCTTTCATTTATTTTCTGCAGCGGCACAATTGGCCAGTCTTTGTTTATTCCTTTGGCGGATTTCATTAGAATTCTTCAGGGAGGTGCAGAGTTCATTCATCATTCTCCGCAGCTCTGCTGTCTGCCAGTAGCTCCTCCATAGTGAGTCCATCTATCTTAAGTATTCCAAGTCAATTCCTTCTAACGCATCTACAACCACTCAATCCTTCTCGTAAACGTTGTTGTTAGTTGACGGAGCAACTATTACAACGTTGTCGACTGCTGTTGCTGGTGTGCCAATTGTTTTTCTTCCAATCTTCTTCAGTTAACCACGTGAATTTCGTTCAATTCGAACGCTCATTGCCACCGCTGACAAACTCGTATAGCACCCTTCTAAATGCCAGTATTTTTATGTTTTATTCTGTCTCATAGTCGCTAAGCAGTGTTCGCAACTGGTTTTATCATTTACCGTTCATCGGGAACGTCCCCGTTGACCATTGCTGGTTTCAGATGTCGGCAGCTGCCCTGCCGACTGTCTCTGATGCCGATTCCACTAAAGCTGAGCGCACGGGTCGAGAATCCGACGCTCATTCGACCACTTCTGCCGATTCCGGGAATGGATCGCTCAATAATGTAAGTTCTTCCCTCGATTCAAAACTTCTGGGTAATTTTGAAAAGCTTATCGCTGCTTTTAAAGTATCTTTCGTTATTAGTAAACAGGTAATATACCACTTATTGATTTCTATAAACAATCCTCGTATGCTTTCTTTCTAGGGTTTTATTATTTACTAAAACGAGTAACAAGGCAAAAGCAAATCATGTATTGCTGATAAATTGCTAGGAACTATGTATTTTAAAACCTGAAATTCTGTTCAAACATTGTACATAAAAAAAAGGTTTCTATTCTACAAATCACGGGGGGTCTATTTTTGGAAACCATAAACAAAACTTTTCGAAAACAAATGTATTATCTGATGAATTTCGTTAAACATCGAAATATTGAACATTGCTCATCGTTTGCGAACACCTGATACAAAAGTCTATAGCCTGAATCAGCTGAAGCTCGTCATAAACTAAAATGATAGCAGCGGCATTGATATGTTGATTTCAAATGCACAGCGGATTGTATGAAGTCATTATTTATTCTGCGGTGTTATAAATAAGCTTCCTTTTCAAAATCAATCAATAAGCATGACATTATTTTCTTGTAATAATATAATATTATCTACTTACTAATTACTCCATTAAACAAGTATTCACCAATTTGTCAAAACGCGCCCATTAATACCCTCTGCTGATCCTATAATCTTACTTTCAACTAAATTTTCATGTGCGAAAGACATCACCTCTTTGCCGAATTCAAAATCCTGTTTTGGGAAAAAATAAACATAACAAAATGCGACAATTTTTACCAAACATGACACTGAGTGGTCTGAAAGCTCGACTATTTTGACAAGATGTAACCGATAGATGAGAGAATCAATCTCTTTTTCCATACTCATGAACGTCTATAGTTTAAAGGGCTAAAACTCAAACACTGTAATGACATCCGTAATGTAAGAGCTTAACTAATTTTTATCAATCCGTTCCAGTCATGCACTTTATTGTAAAACGTT